TTGTCCCCTTTTTGCAACATAGAAGCCGACCCTTACTGTAAAGTGCTGATTATTATATGCATTTAATAATTTAATGTACCACATAGTTCACATTAAAAGTTTCTGGAATAGGCCACTTACATTTATGTTCAATATTTAAAATATTTAAAAATAGTACTCTTTAGCCATAGAATACATTTTAGTTCATCTGATTGTCAATTATTTTCACAGCGTAGAGTCATTTACCAATTGCGTTATTACAATAATATTGACTTAAGAAAATTTTCGTTGCATGATTTACATTTTGAACGCCCGTTTTCATTAGCTTAATATTTAGGAATTGACTAGGAATCACCTAACTAAATAAGCTTGGGCGATTCGTAATATTAGGCGTCTCCTAGTTAAGCAATGCCTTGTTCTAGGTTGATGAAAATGGGTGTAATTGTAATTTTACAGCTGAGCAAAGCCTCGTGTGGTTTCAATCTGCTTTTAGCGAAGATTGCAAGTCGACATCAAAAACCAAGATTCAAATACGCGATTAACGGTGTTTATTACCAAAAGAGACTATATGACAAACATGTATTTTAAAACATCCATCGTCATCATGGCTGCATGACATAAATGTTTTCAAAATTAGTCCAGTCATATTAAAAGTGGATTGAGGCAAAGGGGTTCAATGTATTATTTTGAGAAATAATACATTATTTTTTAATAGTCTTTTCTTTTATTAATTTTATTATTGATTCAGGAAACTTATAGTCCGTCTCGACATTAAGCAATGCCTATAGTTATTCAGTACCATGCATTATTTGTATAATGTGATGTGATAGATCACAATTGTATCAAGAGATAAAAACAATTTTTGCTAAAATAAGGAATGGATAAAATAAGGAGTTTTCTTAATTAAGATATGCCTTTTTAAGTTAGTTGTCGTAATAGTGGATGGAAAATGTTATTAAAAATCTAATTAATCGTATTGTCGAGATGCAATATTTCCGTCAAAACAGGAAAGAGAAACATGTTGAAATATCTTTTTTGTAATTTTTTCCCGATATTTTCGAGATGATCGCAGACCGATTTTGAATGTATTTTTAAATTTCATCTTATAGATTATTACATTCCCGAGGGGATTATAAGGATAATAAACTCCCAAGATGGAATTTATTATATTTCTGTAATCAACATTAATTTAACCTTGATTTTTGGCGATGTCTTCAGTGACTAACATAGGTATTATGTATTTTGATGCAGATTTTGTTATGTAAAAGTACATAGAGTTTATTAAATTATGATTACTAATAATTTTACGTATATTACCTATTTTATCGGATTATAATAAAAATCCCTGCATAAAGTTAAAAGGAATTTCCACAATTGTACTTAATTAGGTAGTCACGATATATATAACCGTTGAGACACAATGGTATCGGACGTGTCGGCAAAAAGAGGCTACTTATTATCATAACCAGAGCCACCTCGCGTGAGGGTTTTTCGAGGCTGTTATAATTGCTTTGAATTTATATACTTCAGTATTATTTTTACACAAAAAATATTGCCTCTAATTTCCCACTTAATAACTCATACGTATGTTTAGGTTGGGCAAGAAAATGATACCATTCCAAGAATAATTTTTACTGGAAGTCTATATTTGTAATTCTGAGGGTCTATTGTAGCAAACATTTCCAGAGAAAATATTATTTGAACGCCACGTTATAACGGTAGAGTTCGTTAATTAGGGATATAACAAATATTTCCAAAATCCTTCAGAATATTCTCAATTAAAATAAATATAAATGTATGAAGATAGGCGGTCGCGACCCTGGAGCCTCTCCAGCTAAAACTTTAACCATAGGTTAGCGAATATTATGAAGATATTGCGTTTCATTTTACTACTTTGACATGTATTTTGTAGGATAAAAGGACAAATAGAATAAGTTGGTTACACAGCTGTCTAATCCTTATTCATCATTTATTCGTCGTTCATGAAGTACATATCGAAGTAGTAAAATAAAAAGAAATAATGAATGAATGAAATATGCTTTATTGTATACAATCAAATTAAAGGACAATTGGTGGCCTTATGACTAAAAAGTAATTTCTTCCAGGCAACATTTGCGTACAAGAAAAAACCTATATCTAAATTTGGGTAGTTTATGGTGTCTCAAAAACTTTAGTAAAATAAAAATATACATATATTTAATACATGAATTAAATAATAAATACCTCATAAACAATTAATCATACATACATATAATATACATAATAGATAATATACAATAGGAAGAGCGCTATTACATCGCTAAGATGTCGTATCCTATAACAAGAGTTATGCTATGGAGTAACGAAGTTGGTTCTATTTTTATTCTTTCATTTTTATGAAAAAATGTTATATTGCTTTTTAATGATATTTATATTTTTTATATAATTGAAAGTCTAAGGAAAGGAGATTTTCTTTATTTGCTCGACATAATTTTTTCCAAAGGAAAGATTTGACTGCTTGTTTGTTTTCATTGTATAGGCACTGAAACTATTGAAGGACATAGACTATAAAATCTACCTGACGTACAAGGGAACATATTTTTGTTCCTTTGTACGTCTTTTTTAACCCAGACATCATCCCTATTTATACAGGCGAAGGGCAGCAGCTAGTTTGATAGAAATTGGTTCACAATTCAAATTGAGGAACATACCTATTTACAAAAAAAAAATATACGTATCCGATGCCCGTTGACCATACTTTAGGATTTTTTATTCATTTATGATATACAATCTTTTGTTTTTTCTTATATAATAAACATATTATCCAAATATTTAGGAGATATCTGAGGAATATCATAATTGTTTTATTATAATAGGGAAGCTGCTGATTCGATTTCGAAAAAAATTATATGGACCAATTAGCTATCGAATATAAAAAAGAAGTTTTCGAAAATCGGTCGACAATTTACGGAAAAATCGGTGAACAAAAGAATACATATCAGTCGAACACATAACCTCGTACTTTTCTACTTTGAAGTCGGTTAAAAAGATGCAATAAAAACGCAAACAGCGGTTTGTAATAGTACATAGATAATTAGTTAGTTAATAAAGTGATTAATTAATATATATTCAATATATTTTGCATTTTGTAGTGATCTGACGTTCTGTTGACTGTACCTATATTAATACACATAAATTGCTATTGATACTAATAATAATTTAGTAATGATTGTTTATGTCCGATAAGAAATTATCTGTTTTATCTAATGACCTTAGGGTTAACCAAAATGTATATATACAATGGTTGTTGACTAAAAATCTGTACGTATATCATTGTGAAATATCCTTCCACTTTCGCATTCTATGTCTGCTTTAAATTTCCTTTATCTTAAAAGTGTTGTCTAGTCTAACTAGTCTAAGTTAACATAGGTATCAAAAATATAAAAAAACTGTAATGTAACACAAAAGTAAAAAATATAGAAGCCAGGGCTGGATCTGAGGAAGGATTTTGGGGCTAGGAAAAATACGAGCCTGATAGAAGCCATAAAAAGATCTATATAATTAAGTTATTCTGTAAAAATAAAACGCAAGAAGTTTCTAGCTTCTTTTTATGACAATGTAGTATTTCAATGAAATAAAACCTTTATCACGTTTTGAATTAGGTTTTAATTGGTTAAACTTTGTATAACAGCGCTATATTCATTGAGTTCGAGACTGTTTTTATTACAGAACAGCATTGCAGATACTACTGTTATATTATTAGTTGTCTACTAAGGCCGCCTTGTTAAACTGTTTTTCTTGTGCTGTGTTCGATTTGTAACTGGCCCTGTATAGCTTGGAATAAAGTATATTCTTATTATTATTACTGTTTACCGGAGGATAACGTCAATGGCCATAAAAAAATTGCATTGCAAAAAAATGCATGTACGAAAATAGTACTGCATGATGTCGTACAAGGAAGGCCTGAAAGGTTTTTAGTTTTCTAGCGTTCCGAGGCCTGGTGTCCAGATTCAGATAAATAGGTATATATTCCTATATTATAAGCAGAGGTCGGAATTAGGTAGAGTTATTTATGTACTTGCATCGAAATGTTGGTATTAATGTGGACCTACCCGGGATTTCTAATGGACAATCTTGGACATCTTTGGACATCCGATGTTATTGATGTAAGTTTGGCAACGTCGTGCGTGCAGTAATTTAAATTGTGTAAAAGTAAATAACTTTTTATTTAAAAAATCACGGGATTTTTTCTGCTCTTTAAAATTAATCTTTGGATTTGAGGCATATCCACTTTATTCTTTCGCTGTATGAAATCCGTGTAAGTACATGAATAACTCAACCTAATTCCGACCACTGATTATAAGTTAAAAATCTTGATAAATATGAATACATATATTATAGGTACGCTACCAGACTCCTCACTCAATGTGGTGCCGTATGCAGAAACATATCAAACAGGATTACAAAATAAGTAATAACTACATACATTAAACATTAACTATTGAATACCCTTAACATAAAAAAAAACTTAGTTTGGAACATAACTTATGACTCTTATTACAATAAAGTTTTTTCACTGAATCTGGTTTTTCTAATAAACAAAGAAGACTAACTCTGTGGCAGAGTCGTTCGCGAGTCGATTTCAAGGTGTCGGCAATACTGAAGAACCAGGTTCGAATCTCGATCTGGTCGATGTATAGAATGAATTTGTCTATTTTGTCTCGTGTCTATGTGTTATGGTAAATTCGTTGTCTCGTATTATAGAGTATAATACGAGAGTCTTAATTCTCAACTTGGAATATGAGCAATGTGACGTGGTCTTCTTCTATGATTTTTATTTTAGACATATTTTGTATAAATTTGCTGATGTTAATGTTAAAAAAAATCTTATCCATCGTAAACAAATTTTTATTAATATAAGCCGTGCGAAGCTGGGTCACATCACTACAATTAGATAAGAGTTATTCAAGAAGTATTTACATGTTAACGCTGTAACTATAATTACATATAAGAAAATAACAAATTCTAATATTTTTACAATAATGGTTGGATTGACTCAAGAACAAAAACAGTTTTATGAAGAAAACGGTTACGTATTGTTGGAAAATTTACTTCCAGAAAATGATTTATCAAATATATATGAGCAATATAACGATTTGTTTAAAAGAAAGAATCAAGAGAAGATGGAGAGCTCCTGGGTGGGAAGCGACGCAAATGACAGACAAAGCGATAGTACTTACACTGTAAGTTTAATTTTGATATAAGAAGATGTGAGACAGGGCAGAAGACCTGGCTTACCAGCTAACAGGGATAGTGCCAAAAGCATTAAAGCATTACCCCGACGATAAAAAAAAGGGCAGATAACCTGATTTTGGTCACTGTCCCCGTTTTGGCTATTTGACACTTCAAACCATTCCAACTAACCCGAAAACAGTTACTTCTTTACATTTTAAAGTGACTAAAACCGGGTTATCTGAACTAAGCACAACACAATAGAATATTGCAATTCTAAACTAAAACAACAATCCTTGCTAGCATTTCGTCACGAAAATGTAACATGCATCTACACTGATTTGACCATAAAACATTTGTATGTATATGAGCGTTATTTTTACAGAAATATACCTTGCTTTCACAGACGTCTTATTATCATAACTACTGCTACTATATATACCTACTATTCAAATAACTTCTGCTTTTTGAAGATATGAAAACATTGTTTAATCATTAAGTGTGCTATATTTGTGTAGATTTTTATTTTATCCCGTTCAAGCAAGTCTACCTTTAATAAATAAATCTAAGGATTGATAGCAAAAGTTTGTTTGTTTTCACATAGATAATAATAGAAATTTTATTTCATTATAAACAAATATACGGCTTTGTTTTAGTTAAATCGTATAGTTTAGTGGGAAAACAACAAACGTGGCAATCGGTATAAATTAGATCTTATTTCTGATCTAATAATACCCTAAAGCGGAAGGAACAGAATCTAATAATCGTAATTTTGTGTTCGGAGTGTAGCACCAGGATTGAGTGGATGAACTCGTAAAATTAAAACTTTCCTTTGCCTTCTCCAACAAACGATGCAATTTTTCTTCCACCCGCTTTTACTCAAAGGATAAATTGATATTTCTGCAAAATAAGCTCTGACTGAAGCCGCTGTATTTAAATCTAGATACACGTAAAAGTAACGATTTTTTCTCTCGCTTAGGTACTTAATAAAAATGTGCGGTAAAACTTAAAAAACTAACATATTTATCAAAATATTTATTTGAATCCTAAAATTTAAATTAATTTTGTAAACCCTAAAAGTTTGCGTTGCGTTGCATATTATGAATGAAAATGTTATCTTTTATCTTGTTTCGTTAATAATGAATGTCGCGTACTCACGTGGGTCAGTCTAATCGTTTTGCGAGTTTGTAAATTACATTTATTTGTTTTCAGCTGTTTTCAGAGACAATTTGAGGTTATACAATTTTTTAAATGTAACTGCACATACACATGCATATAAAGTGTTCTCAAACACCTATTTAAATATACTTAAAAGCTAACCGTGTATACATTAATATAAACTGACCTACAAACTACTGGACGGTTCAAACTAGGCACACCAATATAATGAGGTACAGATTAACTAGAAAAATAATGTGATTCAAGGCTAGTTATAAATAACCAAGTAATATTGCTCAAATACAAAACTAATAGCTATTGTATTAGGGTAACCCGAACCAACGAAAATATCATAACGCCTAAATCCTAGACAATCTATAGACAGTCGATAAAACCCGAGTCCTCAGCTATAGTGATATCTTGAAGCAGGTAGGTGTGTGAGGCAATCGACCACTTATGGTGCAGAGCTTGCTCTGTACTCTTAAAATCCAAATTCGATTCATTGTGGACTGTTTCATCACCTGTCTTTTTCCAACTTACGTTTTTTGACATAATTGAATGGGACAGTGCGCGTTTAAGTTAACGATATATCGAAACTTGATTATCAGAGTTAACTCTCTGTCTCTCATAATAAACTCTATGGTTTCTCTATACCTTTAGAGGGTCAAGAGTGAGATGTGAGTGTTGATAAAAGCATAACAAACTCGATAATTGTCAAGAATAAACAAAGCTTCATTGCCATGATCTATGGTACAACAAGAAATTTGAATAGTTTAGCTAAACTTCTTAGTAGAGAACAAGTTCCACTGTTAAACTGTACTCAGCATATCAATATATAACTTTTGAGTTTCTTTATCGACTTATGCCATCGACCTTCATTTGTTTTCCAGGTGAAGGGAATCCACAATCTACAATACCATTCAGCTATCTTCAATCGCTTCATCTTCAACAAGAACCTTCTGGATGCTTTAGAAGACATCATGGGTACCAATAACATAATGCTACATCATACGAAAGCTCATTTCAAGCCACCGGAAAAAGGTGCTGCATATCCTATGCATCAGGTAATGCTGACCAATTTGAGTACGTACATAATCTTTAATTTATAGACGTAAAATTAAATATTTATTATAATATATTGTAAAATTAAAGCAAATATTTCTTATTTCGAGTATTTATTTCTGTTCTACGTTAAATTCGAAGCAGTATCTTATATTTCCGCATATGTTACGTTCTAAGACCGATATCACTTACTGCGTTGTGGTCACAGTAAAACATTCATATTTGCGAAATTCATGATATAGCTATTTTTACACCTCCTCTATTTTTAAATATTTGTCAAATAAAATGAACGTTTGCATGTAACCTAACTTGAAACTTCCGGCTGTGTCGGTCATTTTGTTCCTCCCAGTATATAAAACAGAACTCAAAACATCTAAATTAAAAAAAAAACTTAATTTTTAATGTGAAAAATATAACAGTGAAGAGACGTAAAAAATAATACATACGAACATAAAACCTCCTTATTTTTTAAGTCGGTTATCAAATGTTATAAATTCTATTCTATTATTAGATTTAGAATCCACTAAATACTCTTTAATAGCTTTTTTGTTTATCTTTCTCTTCAGTACATCTTTTTAAGACTATTACAAAACAATTCGTACCTTCTTTATTTACACATTGTTACGTAATAAATATTAAAGGCTAAAACCCTTGTAGGATAGAAATCTAAAAAACAACGAAAGTCTAAATCCCAGACCATATAAAAATATGTATAGAATGAACCAACCTCTTTTTTTATTCAGGACTATCACTATTTTCCCTATAAGAATAATTCGATGGTAGCAGCGTTCCTACACCTTGATGCTGCTAATCCAGAAAACGGAGGCTTATTTGTGTATCCAGGGTCGCATAAATTAGGTCCACAAGAAGATATTGGAGCTAAGGAAGGAAATTTCCATTATGTTAATCAGGTATCATATTTGACAAATTTAAAATACACCGAGTTTCAGTATATCTCGGGCGAAGGTCCTAATATACCTTGTAGTAAATTTAATTTGTTATGAAGATGATATATCATTAAATAAATATGAAATAACATCTTTAAGATTGTTCTTGGTCACAAAGAAATAGATGAACCTAATTTCCTTGCTATGATTATCGTAAACAACAACGGAAATGTCTACCATCAATCACTGAGATCCAACACAACTTAGAAATATTTATTATCTGCTTCAATACGTAAAGCTGTTTTTGTGTTTGTTAATACTTTATTTTTAATCATCAACATTCTCATATTTTTTATAGGAAAAAAACATAGATGTTAAACTAGCAATCATTAAGAAATTTAGAAATAATAAATACAACAAAGCGTTTCTTTTCTTCCAGAAACTCTTTCCAATAGAAAAAGCTACCCCTATCGTTGCTAAAAAGGGGGATGTAGTGATCTTCTCGTATCTTCTTGTGCATGGTAGTTCTGCTAATACATCTCAGCGACCGCGACGAATGCTTCTGATGCAATTAGCCTCTGCTGATGATGAGCCTATAGGCTTGCAGCTTATGCGACCAGGACAAGGATGGATGCTTAGAGGTATCAACATAAATCGGGACGCAAGCATCTCCAAAAGGTTCGAACAGCCATAAACTTATGATTGTCATTTGTGACGCCAATTAGTCAAAATATGTTTTTTCGTCTTTTTAAAAAAAATATCGATAAAGAAAATATATTTGTCATTATATTTGTAAAGATTATTTAGACACAATCACATCACTTACCAAATATTTACACGATAAAAGAAATAAGGAAGAACAAGAAACTGACATGTACCTGTATGCAGCAGTTGAAAAAAGGGTCTAGGCTCGGTGCACTAAAATCACCTAATGCAGATGAAGCACCGACAAAAAGCAGGGACAAAATACTTTTCAGTAAAACGAATGAATAGTATCAGGAAGATATAATGTCAAAAATTTATATAAATATAATACAAATAGTTAAATATATATAATTCATAATATTGTGTTATTGATTAGAATAATGTCAAAATTGTAATATTAAATGTCAAAAAGGTAGCACAAAGCAAAAAGGAATTTTAATTACATATATCCGTTAAACTATTCCTATTCCTTTCTATGCGACCTAATATTGTATTCTATTCATGAAGATTTCACAAGATAGAGTCATCATCATCACCAACTAATTAATTTTCATACTGCTGCGGCTCAGGTCTTCCCTATGGGTGAAATCAAATCGAATCGACTAGGAAGATTGGGTCATGACCCTGCATGCGGGCCCACTATGGATCGGTGGGTCTTAATGACTGCAGATGCAGCCGGGACCGACTGGTTAACGTGCCTTTATTTTTAGTCACATCCTTATGATCGGTCATTGTGAAAATTGCTTAACGATAAGGTTATCGCAGACCAAACGTGCTAGCCACTGCACCATCGAGCTCCTTCAATGCGCAATCACTAAAAAGATTTTTTTAAATACAATAAACTTGAAATGTTTTATTTGGCCTAGACGCTGTGTTGCATTTGCGATAAAGCTGCCTATTGTACGGTAATAATTATGTAATAATTTATGAATGTACATTTTGTTGTGCAATAAAAAGCACTTATCTATACAAAAAAATAAAATCGGAGTGTCTGTTTGTAATGTTAAACAACCGCCTTTTACTAAATGCATATTTATACCGTGTACGCATATATACGGTATAGGTATATACCAAAATGACTTTATTTATTTTTTGTCTGTCTGTCTATTTTGTTCCGACTAATCTCTAAAACGGTGGGACCAGTTTTGACGGGACTTTCACTGGCAAATAACTTATGCAATAAGGAGTGAAGACTATTTAAGACGTATTTTTTTCGTAACCAATAAATTGAGCAAGATTTTCTTGTTTAATTGAACCAAAAGTTAAATTTTTCTTTTATGTAACTAACGGACTAAATAGGATTTTTTTTTTTACCCTGTCATTATCCCTATTGCTGATGCAGGTAACTAGAATAAATAGAAAATAAATTTAACTGTATATTTTTTATAAATGCTGTATAATGTACACAGCATTGAAATATTTGTTTGATAAAACGAGTCCAGGAATATTTTTCTTTAAACATAACGTAATCATTTTGTTCTTTGCGGTTCTAAATATGAAAATATATCGCAAATTGCGGTCGTCTCTTGCGCTACCTACAAACACCTTGTTTGTCAAGGGCAAAAACCTTTAGGCTTGCTAATTACAAGCAGAGATGGGTAAAATGTTATAAAACGTAACAACACAATTAAGTACGGGTTAAGGGCGCTAAGGGTTAGCACGAGAAAACATCATGTTTGAATAGAATTCCTATCGATATAAATTGTATTATCGAAATTTTAGTAATCTTTACGGAGATAGATGTTGCTATGCAAATATTATTACAAATATTTTACTTCTAACTTGGATTACTTTGGTTACATATTATACAAAATGTACGTTTGTAGCTTTGTAAATACAAAGCTTTGATTTTTATTAATTAATATATACATAGATATATGTTACCTTATAAAATTATTTTCGACTAATAATATTTTTTGACAACTAGTTTTCCCTCGTTTATACACGAGACCATCATGTTATTTACATAAATAGAATAGACTAGCATATATTTTTATTCTATTATTTCATAATAGAGACCCAGGGATTGTAAAACAGAAGTGAATTTAAGCATCACTGTTTTCTCACAGGTGTTATAAACCCTTCGGTTATCCCTACAGTAGTGGTGTAAATTAAGAACCTTCAACATCAATCAATCATGTATCACGTATGTCATCATCATCATCAGCCGGAAGACGTCCACTGCTGAACATAGGCCTCCCCCTTTGAACGCCACGATGGACGACATTGCGCCAGCTGCATCCAGTGGCCGCCCGCGACTCGGACGATGTCGTCCGTCCATCTAGTCGGGGGTCGACCCACGCTGCGTCTTCCGGTTCGTGGTCTCCACTCGAGAACCTTTCGTCCCCATCGGTTATCGGTTCGTCGAGCGATGTGGCCTGCCCACTGCCACTTCAGCTTACAAACTTTGCGAGCTATGTCGGTCACTCTAGTTCTTTGGCGAATATCCACGTTTCGGATCCTATCGCGCAAAGAAACCCCTAACATAGCTCTCTCCATGCCTCGCTGAGCGACTCTGAGCTTCTCTAAGAGGCCAGCAGTTAAGGACCACGTTTCAGTGCCATAGGTCATCACTGGCAACACACACTGGTTATACACCTTCGTCTTTAGGCACTGTGGTAATTTGGACGTGAAGATATCGCGTAGCTTCCCGAACGCTGCCCAGCCGAGTTGGATTCTTCGAGCGACCTCTTTGTCGAAATTGGATCTACCTAACTGGATTGTCTGTCCAAGGTACACGTAGTGATCGACAACTTCGAGAGTATCAGTTCCAATGACCACCGGTACGGGTGCAACATGGACATTCGACATGATTTTCGTCTTGTTCATGTTCATTTTAAGACCCACCTGTTTGGAAACGATACTCAGGTCGCTGAGCATTGTACTGATGTGCTCCATTGATCTTGCCAAGATGACTATATCATCGGCGAAACGAAGGTGAGTGATGTATTCGCCATTGATGTTGATGCCGTATTCGTCCCATTCCAAGAGCTTGAAGACGTCCTCCAATGCATTCGTGAACAGTTTCGGAGAAATGACATCTCCCTGTCTCACGCCTCTGCGCAATTGGATTGGTTTCGTGCTCTCTTCCTGGTAGCGAATCGACATTGTGGCGTTGCTATACAAACGCTTCAACACTTCGACGTACCTGTAGTCGATTTGGCATCGCTGGAGGGACTGCAGTACTGCCCAGGTTTCGATTGAATCGAAGGCTTTCTCATAGTCCACAAACGCTAAGCAAAGTGGCAAATTATACTCCTCGGTCTTCTGTATAATCTGCCGCAGCGTATGTATGTGGTCTATGGTGCTAAAGCCTTTTCGGAAACCGGCTTGTTCGGGAGGCTGGAAGTCATCAAACCGGCGTTCGAGACGATTCGTAATGACCCTCGAAAACAGCTTATAAACGTGGCTCAGAAGCGAGATTGGTCTATAATTCTTCAACAAGATCTTATCACCTTTTTTGAAGAAGAGCACAACCACGCTTCTGTGCCACGCTTCTGGCGTCGTGCCCTCGAGAATGACGGAATTGAACAATTTCTGGAGGACTAAGAGTACCGGTTTTCCACCCGCTCGCAAAAGTTCAGTAGTGATTCCGTCATCCCCCGGTGCCTTGTTGTTCTTGAGCTGTTTGAGTGCCATTCTAATCTCGTACAGGCTGTCTACCATACAAAAAGTCTACCATATTCCGACATATCGGTTGAAGATTGCAGTCTCATATCTCTCCGGTCCGCCATCAACTTGAGCGTTTCGTCTGAGAGCTTTTGAGATTTAATACGGCGCGGGGCCTTATAGAAATTAGACCCCACAGCTTGGACTGTTTCTACAAACCCGTTGTTTATTTCGTCCACAGACTCGCATTCAGCTAGACACTGAAAGCGATTGTGTAGTTGGAGTTGGAAGGCTTCGGGGTCCACGATATGAGCAGCACTAGGACGGAGCGTAGACTTCATCAGACGTGATCTTTCGAGCTTAACATTGATATACAATGTGCCTCTAACGATTCGGTGATCGCTACCGGTTTTCACCCTGCTGATCACGGAGACATCATTGAATATGTGCTTTCTGGCCACTCTGCTCGACACACTATCGATCTTCACCACGTTGTTCACGAGGGACTTGTGGACTAGAAACCCAACACCACCTTGAGATTTTTGATCTCCTTCCCGGAAGAAGAGCATGTTACCGGACTCAAGGATTACCGTATCCTGGCCCTCTCTTCGGATTTCGGATAATCCCACTATGTCCCATCGCAACTTGCTCAATTCTTCCTCCAGCTCTAATAACTTCACGTCAGTCCTCAGTGTGCGGACATTGTATGTTGCCAGGGCCAGAGTCCGTTTGTGTTGGTAGCGCCGAATCTGCCGGAGATTCTTAGCACCCCCTGCCCCTCCGTTACCTGTCCCGCTACCAGAGACAGGAATAGAGGGGCTGCCGGGGACTGGGGGCCATACAACATTGTCGTCCATCATGAGGGGGGGGGGGGTTGCCATAATCCCCACGCTTGGCAGGCGACTTGGGGATCGCAGTAGGTGGTGGTAGGTGATACCGGGAGGCGCTGCTGCCCGCCTTCCGTATAATCCCTCAGTCGGCTCCTACGACACCCACGGGAGGATATGGGGGGGTGCTACTCTTAGGCCGGCACCCCACGGCATCATCATCACGTATGTAATAATGGAAAATTAACTTTTCTTTTTGTGCTACTTTCATCGTTTGACATTTCTGTGATACAAGTTTAACTACATAAATTAGGATCTGAGCAATATATATGATGTTATCTAATATTTATTTATTTTGTATATTCTACAAACTGTGCATAGCCTCCATTCTTGCTCTGAGCTGCCCTGCGATTCTGTAAAAATCCATACCCGAATTCGAATTCACTCAGATGTCAAAATTCACTTCAAAAAGCGGCATCCGCTCAACCTTCAATTGTTTATAACGTTTCGTGGCATAAATGAAGTGAGGTTCGAAATTACATAGGAATAGAAT